GATCAGACTGGTTGACCTGACACATTAGGGGTAAAGATACCATCAGTTAGACATCGGTGCCTAGACACACTGCCTAGACTGACGCAGCCACATCCAGTGGACATTGGGGTTTAACCACTTTTTGAGCTTGCAAAGAATTCTCTTACAGTCCCTTCAGAGCCACATTTTTATCCTGGAAGACAGCCAATTTCGGTTTAGATGAGTTTAAATAAGCTCAATGTTGGGCTGCTCACAACAGCAACCACTCTACATCCAACTTCTAATTTGGAAGAACACCACTGTAATGCCACATGAATATTAATCAGGAGCTTTTTGATATGCACCTGAATAAACATCTGCACTGCTGACCCATTTTACTGCCGGACTAAATGTGGAATTTCTTCAATACACAGACTGACTATGCAGTGTATCTTATTGCAGATCACGGTGTAATTCGAGTGTACAGTGTGAGCTTTATTTATGTCAGGAGAATTTCTGAAAGGCCAGTGTATTATTACTGGTCTGATATACAAAGTCTGCTGTGTCTCAGCTCCTCCTTGGCGGGCCTTGAGCTGTGGCTTTCCACATCCAGCCCTGCGTTTGCCCCAGAGATGTGGGCACCCGCAAAATGCCCATCTGTGTTACACACTAACTGGCACACTGTCTACAAAGAACAAAACACAGGAAAAGGGCTGCACACACTCTTTTACCATGATTACTATGGCATTTGTAACAGTGATAAATAGTGGTGCCAAACATTAGCATATAGTCTGTGAATTTGCAGGTACAGTATAAGCGGGTTAAATGACAGCAGGCAGAATAATGACTTCCTGCAGAGATGTTTGGATGTGGTAAAGTGGTGAATAGGGAAGGCTAAACTGGGTTCTTCGTTTTTGAGAATGAGGTGAACAGTGTGTTAACGTTTTTTCTCGAATTCTGATCGACTGTATTTATATCCTGCTGTGTGGTGTTATCATGCTGTAGGGCTCCCATCCCTTTGAGCTGCCTTCTCCTCTCAAGGCAGCTCAAAGGGATGGGATGTCTCAAGACATTTGATCAACAGACTTAAGTCACATGACTTGGACTCAAGTCACACATTTTATGACCTTAGACTCCACAAACTCAAGGACTTACAGCTCGACTTGGACTTGATCACCAATGACTCGTGACTTCACTTGGGACTTGAGCCTTTTAACTTGAAAATACTCAAGCCCACAGATTAAAAGTATCTTATTTAAAAAGTGTGCAATGAATCATTTCCTGAAACAACAATGTTAAGACTATTCATTCCAAGAAAGTCCACACTTAATTCCCCGGATGCACTCAGTCTGAACGAATCCAACAGCATCCAATCAGGTAGCACGAGAGAACTAACATGCCATGAAGACCCAACATTACGTTACTGAGCGCCAGCTGGAAAAAATTATACCAAAGATCATTTTGTTTCGTTTGTTCTGTTGTTAAAGGGCGTTCCATTTGGTGAAGAGCGCATTATGACTCGTTTAAGACCGAAATGTATAAGATGAAATGTGAGGACGGTTCCATCAGATCAGTGTAGCGCAATCATGGATGTAATAAAGAGGCACTGGAGTGAAAAGAGGTCATCAGTTAAATGTTCGCTTACTACTTAAGACCATTTCTCATGCATGTATTCCTTTTCTTTGTTTAGGAAAGGAACAAGTCGATGGATCGATTAGTCTAACGACAGAAAATGAATGGCACTTACTTTGATAAATGATTCATCGTTAATGTATTTCCAAGCTATAATGAACTAACATTACCAGTCCCACCTTCTCTTCTTATGATGATTTGCTGCTTTTCTTTGTCTTATGTGACAGTAAACTCAATATCTGTTTGTGTTCTAGACATCACGTTGGACTTTAGACATTATATAGACCACTGTCTCACCTGATGTAGTCGTTCTTGCAAAGGATCATGCCTCCCTTGCTGTAGCAGGTGCTGCTGTACTCGCCCAACTGAGCGTGGCAGCAGGAGCACTTGAGGCATCGCGTGTGCCAGTATCGCTCCATGGAGAAGAGCAGGAAGCGGTCTGCGATTCGACCGCCGCATCCTGCACACGACCTGCCTGCCACCCCCCCGCCACCGCCCATCACTGCCACTGTGGGTGCCTCCACCCTGCTGTTCACCATAGCGACCTGAAGAAAGGGAAAGAGGTAAAGCAGAGAGGGCGAACAGTTGAGGCAGGCAAATATTGTTTACTGCTTACTGCTTACGTTACAGAAATGAATGCCTCCCTCCACAACATATGCAGTTTAGATGCTGCACATACATAACCCCCACACATTACTTGGTTTGTATTTTGCTGAACTGGAATTAAGATGTTGTTCTTCAATCTAAAACTATTGGCATATAGGCCCATTATTGCACATGCATATGTTGACTGATTAAACAGAAATGCAGAGTACAGAAATGCCAAAGATATGTCTGACAAACATCTCCAGTACAGTTTGTCACAATATAAAAGAAAAAGAACATTGTTATTGGGATCAGCAAATTAAAATCGAGAACTTGTCCTGAAAGCCTTTCTGCTAAAGCTGTTGATAATTTCGGGCTGCACTAACTTGTTATTCGGACTATGTGGAACTTTAAGCCTGAAGTTGATATGGGGTGATCAGAAATGGCTATATTTATTAGAAAACTATTTACCGAACAGCCCCAGAATTGAGCTTCAGAGCAATATTTTTGATAACAAGAGTACAAGATCTATTTACATCAACAACTTTTATAAAAGTACTTATATTTATTGTTTTTTAGAAAAAGGATATTGAAATATTTTAATCTGACAATACTGGTAAAAAATACATTATCTGTAGCAGATACTCGTTTCAGCAGACGCTGGTGCAAGCTCCTCTACTGTCCAGTGACTGACTGTTCAGCCGACAGAGCTCCGTGGTGAGCAGAATACACACTCTTCATCTCTCTGACGGTGTGGAAAAATGTTCACATCACAGATAATGGCCAAACATTACAGGTAAAACATGAAGGAGTTCAGCGAGGTGCAGCTGCTCTACAGTGGACTGCACTGGAACTAATTATGTTTCTCATACCTGTAGATAGGGTGCATTGGAGAAAAAACATCAGTAATCATTTTGAATATTATTATCACATGACATTCAAATAAAGAGGTCATCCACTGATGCCGACTCCAGGTTGACTATGAATATGTCCAGGTTTAGGTATTCGGGTGGCAATTGATGACATTTTATTGATACCAATGCCATTATTGATTCTGCTATTTGGGCCGATTCTTTATCAATTCCCTCATTGATTCCTGATCAACTTTCTGTGCAGAAAAAATGCTTTTAACACAGAATATTTACTCTGTAACGGACGTGCTACTCAGTTTAGAAGCAGTGGCACTCTAGAATTTAGGCTTATGTTGAATAGAACGATATTTCAGCATATTTCTGATGTTTCCAGTTACTTGAAATCATGATATTACAGACATTACAACTAGCACTGCTGTCATCTGTGTGAAATAAAGCCATACTTTGGACTGTTTTCTTCCTTTCTGCCATTACTCCTTATTGCATAGACCCATTTGATTTATAATCATATTTATTGGCCATGTATGCATACACACAGTGTACAAGGAATTTGGCTCCAGTATAATATATATTTAAACATATGTATATATACAGTGGGGCCCAAAAGTCTGAGACCACACTGAAAACCTCTAATATTTTCAGGTAAACTATGAAATAATCAGAACTTTAGATAGTAAGTTAAAGTTTTAGGTACAGCCCTACTTATCAATTATCAATCGATTATTGTTTAGTGCATTAAAAGATAAAAAAAATAGGAGGAAAGACACTGATCACAAGTTCCCAGAGTAACTGTGAAGAGGTTTCTTTTAGAAAACACTTCAACTTATCACATCTTCCCCAGTGGGTGCATCCCACGCTGTACGTTTACTGTACTGGGAAAGACAAGTACAAGACACAGGAACACAGCCCCGAGTTCCCAAATGTGGCTCTTGGCACTAGATCCAATCGATTGGTTTTGGAACTTCCTGGGGAAAAAAAAGCTTGGGGCTGTTTACTTGTGGGGGTATGGGAATGTGAAACAGGAACACACACACACACAAGCATACTCCCATCAGAGAGTTGCAGTTTTACACCAAACAAGCTCAAAGTTGTGTCCAACTCAAACAAAACCACACACACTCTTTTCTGGGCCTACAAATAACTCTCAGTTTAACTTGATAATACGTCCCAAGAGGAGGCTCTTTGAAGCTGTGGTCCTCCAACAAATGTTATGGCTGCTCTATGGCGGGATGCCCACACTTCTCAGTTCTTCATCATCTCTTTCAAACATAAGGGAAACTTAGAAACAGTTCGAAATGGTTAAGTGCAGTTGCTATAGCTGTTAGTGTTATACAGTGTGTGCCATCAGGCAGCATTTACTGTATTCCTGCTTTCTTCATTTTTCCATTACAAACCTGAGCTGATTTCATGCACAGCTGGGAATAATATTGCTTTTGAATCGCACCGAGTACAACCGTGGCAGTGTGTGCTACTCAGCAATGAGTCAGCAGCACAACCTCTTCAGCTGCTTCCATGATTTATAATTAGCGCCAACAACAACATAAAATAATTGCAGGGCTAGATTTCATTTTCCAAATGAGCAACAGCAGCACAATTTGTCCTCTAGAGCGTCTAATTTCAGCAAGGGCATGTTTAGCTTTACGACTCGCCTTCCCACAAGATTATCTGAGATTGCAGCAGCTGGTCCTCCGCAGTGGAGCAGGCTGCCCTCAATACCCTCATTTTGTAGAGGAGACACCTGGCTCTAATCAGCCACAGGAACATCATGTTAAGAAGCCCAAGGCTGCGTTAAAACCACAAACAGCCTTGTGCACCGAGACCAAACCTTCCTGTTAGTGGATGAATGAGCTGATCTTTTGAATGACCTGAAAAAATTAGTTCAGCTGTTTAGGCCACAAATAAAACGTTCAAATTAAACCACCTGATGTGTCTTTTATCTGCATTATATTCGTAACCTTTACAGTGGGTATATGAAGTCAAAAAAAACCAAAGGACTCCCTGGTTCCTGGTTTTGATCATCAATCATCGGCACATGAGGTTTACATCACATTCATATGTGTGTCTATGGTATGCAGCTCTCTGGTGCATGGTCCACTCTCTTCATGTATGATATCTAAATTTAGGGGGGTCACCTCAGCAGTTAAAGATGAACCCAGTTAATTTACTGCTAACTTGATTTGCCTTTGCTCAACTTCTTACTTTCAGCTTGATTTTTTGTTTGACTATTTACCTTCCACAGCATCCTGTCTTTTCCAGTCACAATATCTGGGTTTCTAAAACCGGGATTTGAGACCAGTGTCTGTTTGCATAATTACTTTACGTTTCCAAATTCAGTTTGTCACTTGTCACAAAATATTTCCCTAAGCTGAGGGTTTCATTTAGGAGCCTTGCATGTAGCCTCTTAAGTTGTCTCCTTGCCAAAGTGTTTATACCAGTTAGTGAGCTTCTCCAAAACCAACAACAAAGAGAAAAAGCTAAACTGGACACTGCATTAGAATATGTTTTTTTTCAAAGAATGGAAGCACGTAATCCAAAGTAAATTTAACCCAGCCATACATATACTACAAAAGTTGTAACTGCCAAAATCAATGTGAGAAACCCTGCTGTAAAACCAACCGCAGATGAAGTAATGAATAAAAATTATAATGTATTTTTGACATCATGTTGCGAGGGGGGGGGGGGGGTGAAGCGTCAGAAATGGCCCTGGTCGGCAGTGTGAAATCCCTGCTCTCACAAGTTGCTGACGTCTTCATGTCCAGAGGGGTTTTGTGAAAATGTGTCTTGGTATCGCCTCGTCTTCAGTCACCATAAATTCAGCCATTGTCTTACGTACCACTAATTATTTTACATTGAAGACACTGGTATGGGAAAATCGTTACTAAGCAATGCATAAGAGAATAGAATGCCACAGCCAAGGACAAGGGCAGACTGCAGCGTATCATTCATCCGCTGAGAAGGTACAATCGGCCATCCCTCCAGGACTGTGGCGCCTCCAGGACCTGAGTCTGACTCATTAGACAGGACTAACAGCAGTTAGTTCACCTAAAACCTGCTCTGGTTCTGCTTGTTGTGGAGCTATGTTGAAATGTGAACAAGGAGAAGTGTGACACAAGGTTTCCTCGGGACCACAGCTCAGACGCTAGCTGCAGTAACAGGCCAACACTCCCACCTCAGTGAGACCTTCAGACAGATGCGATGCTTTCTTAATAATAAATAATGAACACATACACAAGAGGATGGGAATACTTTCACCATGCATACCATGTAGTTGAAATTTACAGGCATTAATTATGCTTAAATACAAGTCATGATTGGTCAAGCATGAGTAAAACTTAGGTATCAGTGTACTAATATCAGTAGAGGATTTATGATGAACATAGCAGCTGTCGACTGTTCTCTATGTAAAGATACAGTGCAGTCAGGGTGTCACTCTCCTCCTGCCTGTGTTGCTTTCACAGCCTCTCTGTGGTTTGTTCCATAGCCAGTCTGCTCCGTGTGCAGCTCAGTAGAGCCACTGAAACTGCTGTTTATCAACTACGTCGGTGAATTTAAGGATTTATTTCAAGTTGGTAATGTTAAGACAGTGGAAAGACTAACAAAGTAAGTTT